CATGAATATAGAAATGTGGGGCTGTTTTTTCCTTTACTATATCCTCAAACCTTGGAACCCTTTCTGAAACATAGTATGCACTTATTAAACTATTACAAGTATACATATGTAACAAACCTGCACGTTATGCACTTGTACCCTACAACTTAAAGTATAATAATAATAAATAAATTAAAAAAAAAAAAAAAGAAATTGGTACAAAATTTTTGGAGGGCAAGTCTGTACTACTTAGCAAATGCATATGCCCTATGGCTCAGCAATTTCAATTCTAGAAATCTATTCTACAGAACTACACTGTCCAATATCCAATATAGTAGCCACTGGCCACATGTTATTTAAATTTAATTAAAATTAAATTAAGCCTGGGCAACATGGTGAAACCCAACCTCTACAAAAAAATACAAAAATTAGCCAGGTGTGCTGGCATGAGCCTGTCGTCCCAGCTACTCAGGAAGCTGAGATGGGAGGATCACCTGAGCCTGGGGAGGTTGAGGCTGCAGTGAGCCATGATCACACCACTGCATTCCAGCCCAGGCAACACAGCAAGACTGTCTTCAAAAATTAATTTAATTTGAATTAAAATTTTAGTTCTTCAGTTCCCCTAGTTGCATTTCAGGTGATCCATAGTCCTATGTGGCTAGTGCCTGCCACACAGGATAGTGCAGAGACAGATCACCTTCATCACCCAGAAAGCTCTGCTGGGCAGTGCTGGCACAGGAACAGTCACAGAAATAGACAAGGGGCCGGGCGCGGTGGCACACACCTGTAATCCCAGCACTTTGGGAGGCCAAGGCAGGCAGATTCCTTGAGGTCAGGGGTTCAAGACCAGCCTGGCCAACATGGTGAAACCCCATCTCTACTTAAAAAAATTAGCCAGGCATCATGGCAGATGCCTATAGTCCCAGCTACTCAGGAGACTGAGGCAGCATAATTGCCTGAACCCAGGAGGCAGAGGTTGCAGAGAGCCAAGATTGCGCCACTGTACTCTAGCCTGGGAGACAGAGCAAGACTCAATCTCAAAAAAGAAAAAAAAAAAAAAAAAAGACAAGGACATTCAATGCAGCATTGTTTATAAAGCAAAAAACTGAATATAAGCAAAAAAGGGGAATAGTTAAGTAATGTCACATTTATACTACAGCATGCAAAAAACAAAAATTGAAGCAGACGTGAGCAAATAGTATACTGCAAAACAAGATATCCAATTTTTTTTTTTTTAGATGGAGTCTCACTCTTGTCACCCAGGCTGGAGTGCAATGGCGCCATCTCAGCTCCCTGCCACCTCCGCCTCCTGCTTCAAGCGATTCTCCTGCCTCAGCCTCCTGAGTAGCTGGGATTACAGGCGCCCGCCACCACGCCCAGCTAATTTTTGTATTTTTAGTATTTTTCACCATGTGGCCAGGCTTGTCTTAAACTTCTGACCTCAGGTGATCCACCTGCCTTGGCCTCCCAAAGTGCTGGAATTACAGGCATGAGCCACCGCGCCCGACCAAGGTATCTGTGTTAACGTTTTGTATATATAAATAGATACTTACATAATCTCTAAAGATACTGAAACATATCTTCAAGGACATATCAAACTGTCAGTGGCAGAAGAAAAGGAATTAAGAGAGAAGAATGAGAATTTTCACTTTTATTTACTTCTAAATTGAACTTGTTTAGAAACAAATTCAAACAGCAAACTGCATTGCTGTACTTTTTTAAAAAAAGAGATATGCAGGGAAGACCCACTCAGGAGCCCCTCTCTGCAGGAGAGAACTTTTCTTTCCTCTTTTCTCTTGCCTATTAAACCTCCACTCTTAAATTCACTTCTTGTGTGTCCATGTCCTCGATTTCCTTGGCATGAGACAACAAACCTTGGGTATTTACCCCAGACAACAACGCCGCTTCATTTTGGGGCCCTGTCCAGGATTGGAAAGTGCATTCATCGGAAAGAATGTTGCTGAAGATGCAACATCCAAATGGTGCTACAGATGGAGCCACGCATGGACACACCTTTCTTCTGAGGACCCTTAAATCAACCCCAGGAGAAGCCTTAACTGCTGTTCCCCACATGACACCCCTCTTCAGCAGGAAGTAGCCAGAAAGAGTCATCATCCAATACCCCCTTAACAGCAGTGAGTTACTACTCCTTATAGGGGAAATGATACCAGAGCTAGAAAGAAATTATTTAGGCAGATAGTGAGGGCAAGAGACTCGTTGATAAGGTTTCCTTTTAATAAAAAGCAACCCCCAAATCATTTCTAACAAAGAAGCACCCTGAAAAAAATCAAGCTGCAAGCATAGATAAGCAAGCTGGAAGCTTGCATGGGTACATGCCAGCAGCTGTGCCAGTAGGAAAAGGCTATCGGCGGGCCAGGCATGTTCAACATGGAGGCTTCCTCTTCCCTTTTGTCACATGTGCAGTAAAAAGGCAGGCAACATGGCACTAGCCAGGTAGAGACCCCATCAGCATAATAAAAGATTAGGGTGGGATGGCCAGCTTCTTCATGCAAACAGCACACCTGGTCCTATCAATCTCTCAGACCCGATGTAAATCAGACACCACCTCCTCAAGCTAGCCTATAAAACCCTATGCATTTCATCACGAAACCGGAAGACCCACTCAGGAACCCCTCTCTCTGCAAAAGAGCTTTTCTCTTTTCTCTCAACTATTAAACCTCTGCTCTTAAACTCAAAAAAAAAAAAAAAGATTTTCAAAGGACTTCTACTTTTAGGAAGATGATTTACCAGTGATCCCTGAGGATATTATAGTCTGCTCATTTCTTCTCTAAATTGGTACTTCATTCCTTGGTTATCATTTTTCTATACTAGTAATACAAAATCATGTTTCTGAAGCCCAGAAGGAGCCCCAGAAGTGTCCACCCAGCTCTGGCCTCCTCCCATCTCTCCTCCCCATGCTTCCCCAAATGCACTCTTCCCTCAACCATCTTTTCACCCACTCACACCCACACTTTCTCAGCAGCTGCACACAACTCCTGGGGTGATGCGACCCTATCACACCACAAGCACAACAGATGTGCCGCTCCCCAGCACAACCATGTTCACTGCTTCCTTCCTCAGCCTGCCCTGTGAGAGCAAGAGCAGACAGAGCAGGGCTCAGTGAAGTGAAAGGGACTGGCAGCAGCCCCGACACTTTAGACACAAATCTCGCCTGTGAAAGTGCTTCTTAAAACAAATCACATCAAAGGTAAGAAAACCACCACCAGCAAGTCAGATGAGCAGTTATGTTCCAAATGTGATGGGTTTATTTTATTTTACTCTGATGCAAAACCAAAGATTCCACTATAGCACAGAGACCAATATATTACAAGGTCATGAAAAAATGGTGTGGGACATGCAGGACGTGATGTACAAACTGGAGGGTCAGATCGTCTCCTCTAACATGACACTACACTGTCGCTGAGGAACACATTTAATAACACTGCAGAACTGAACTGAAACATGGCACAAACATGACAACTTCCAGGCATGCCTTCAAGCGCCTCCCTCAGGAGGGATTCGCAACCCCTAGACTTCAGTGTGGGGAGGATTACAATTCTTTGGAAGAATAAAAAGTTCACACTTTTGAAATTTCACAGAAGAATTTTAAGGCCAAAACACAGTGGGTTCATTTCTCTTCACTTCCAGGGACAAATCTGATGCTTTCCTCAAACCACATTAAGCTTCCAGTTCAAATCCCAAGCCAACCTTGTGACCTCCTGCACTGAAGTTCTTCCCATCGATTAAAGCTGATAAAGTCAATTTGACTCCTAGGAAGAAGAAAACACCACAATCACTTGTAACAAGTAACAATTAGATCTGAACTTTCTAGAAACAACAGATGGAATCAATGGTGTGGATTGTAGCTGGGTATAAGAGCTATAAGCAAACAGCTATTACTCAATCGGTTATTTATAACCATCTGATGTGTAATGAGGAACGCATGATCATGGCAAACTTTCTCTGAAGTTCAGGGTTAAGGGCAATGAGTGATCAACCAAACTCAAAAGGCCAGAGTGACCACATTATAGTCAGAAATACATACTTTTTTAATGAAAAAGTATTTGATCTGTTTTGTTTTCTGTCTGAACAACCAAATGTTACAAAATGGTCCGAATAAACTTACAGTGACTATAGGTTGTTCTGCAGGTTATTTTCATTTTTTTCTCTATCACTTTCCACCCCAGACCCTCTGTTACTAATTCCTTTACTTACCTGGTCGAAGGGTCTGAGTATAACCCAGTCCAATCAGGCTGGCATTATTTACTTTAGCCTAAGATTAAGAGATAGAATAATAACATAAAACAGTGAATTACAGATCAGTCCAATACAACTATCACTTTGTGCATCAGGTTTCCAACGCTAAAAGCACCCTAGGGCCAATCTGGAATTACTGATTTTTTTTTTTTTTTTTTTGAGATGAAGTTTCGTTCTCGTTACCCAGGCTGGAGTGCAATGGCACGATCTCAGCTCACTGCAACCTCCGCCTCCCGGGTCCAAGCCATTCTCCTGCCTCAGCCTCCCAAGTAGCTGGGATTACAGGCATGCATCCCCATGCCCAGCTAGTTTTGTATTTTTAGTAGAGATGGGGTTTCACCATACTGGCCAGGTTGGTCTCAAACTCCTGACCTCAGGTGATCCACCGCCTCAGCCTCCCAAAGTGCTGGGATTACAGGCGTGAGCCATCGCGCACGGCCAGAATTACTGATCTTTTAAGTCAGCAGGACTTGTATGGGTGGGACGTACCTTAAGAATGCATGCTTCAAGGCCTCCAGCAAAATTTTTAAACACTACACAACCAAACACCCTGAATTCCCTGAGATACCAGCTGACAATCTCTCACAGTGGCTACAGCATGAACTCGGGTGACAGAAAAACAGATCTAGGTTCAAACTGTGGCACTGCCAGTTACTACGTGACCTTGGGCAAGTTAGCTGACCTTTCTAAGGCTCAGTTTTCTCATGGGTTGAGGATAACCCATGACAGGGATGAGGATAACACTACTCGCCACATGGAATGGTTGTGAGGGTTAAATGACATAATATACGTAAAGCCTTTAGCACAGTACATGAAATTTAAGAGCTCAGTGTTATTTTTAATAAGAGTTACTATAGCAACAGAAATAGTCATCTAATCTCATGAATTTCCAAATAAGAAAATTCTAAGGCCAAAGTGATAAAATGACTTGAGAAGGTCAGACAACAAATACACAGGAAGAGCTAGGCACAGAAGAACCCCTATGTCCTGACTTCAAGCATAATTTTTTTTTTTTTTTTTTGAGATAGACTCTCACTCTGTCACCCAGGCTGGAGAGCAATGGTGTGATCTTGGCTCACTGCAATCTTTGCAACTGCCGGGTTCAAGCAATTCTCCTGCCTCAGCCTCCCTAGTAGCTGGGACTACAGGTGTCCCCTACCACGCCCACCTAATTTTTGTATTTTTAGTAAAGATAGGGTTTCACCATGTTGGCCAGGCTGGTCTCGAACTCCTGAGCTTAGGTGATCCACACACCTCAGCCTCCCAAAGTGCTAGAATTACAGGCGTGCGCCACTGTGCCTGGCCATATTATATTCTTTTCACTATACAATGAGCTGACTTATTAACATTAATAAAGAACAAGCAAGCTACACTCATATCACAACATTCACTGAAAAGTTAGACACAAACATAAGAGCAGATCCAATCTGGCAGCACATTCTTACAGAGAGAGAAGTTCTACAATCCAGCTTGTACTTAGCAGCAATGCCAAAACGGGTGTTGTTACTCCCAGCCGTCCAAGCAAGGTTTATGGATGTTTCAATCTTCTCATTAACCTTCTGGTAGATAGAACCTCCAAACTCAGTGCCGTCGTTCCTGTTTTCATAGATAAGAAAACGTCATAAATATCTAGTTTGTACCATTGTTATTATGGTATGAAAACAAATTCTAAGACTATCTAAACAAGGATCCCATTTTGTAACTATAGATTTCAGCAAATTTCTAGCATAAATGACTACTAAACAAAACACAGAACTAAATCCAGCTATGCCAGTAATGACTGCTTAATTAAAATGTAACACTTGATCCATTTACTTGGCTCCTCCACATGATGTGAGTTTCTTAAGACAATTCAATTAAGCACAAAGGCAGACACCTCAGGTAAGTATAATCTATAGGTCTCTGAGAAGTTAGAAACTTAGAAACTTCAAAGTAGAGTTCAATAAAGATTCTGCAAAAAAAATAAAAAGGTAGAGGTACAGGAATAAAACCAATTCTGGATTTCCTTTGAAACACAATCCTACAGTTACAAAGCACCCTCCTACAATACCTAGGGTGCACTGCTCCAGCAAACCACCTTAGTTATTGCTTCCAAGCATGCCAGAGATGAGTCCTTGGGTTTTCACGGTTTTCCTGGTAATACTGTTTCATCAATTTCAGTAACTGTCTGTCTGTGCCACTGCTTGCCTTTGTTTTAGCCATCATTAAGTGAATTAGAGCATCTAGCAGAGAGGAATCTGCAACAGTTTAAAAACACAGTTTGCCCTTTGCTGCTTCTTCCTGGTACAGGAGCAGTGTCCAGTAGGCCCAACATAAAATACTATGTAAAAGTTCCGATTCATCCCGCCAACATGGTTCGGCCTACATAGCTGAATCCCAGGACTCTTTCAGAGCACCTGTTACTTCTGAATGCATTAGCGGTACCTGGGTTCCAACCAAGAATACCTGAAACCTCCACAGAATTACTGGGATGTCCCAGGATGCTCAAATCAATTTGGTGGTTGTTATTGGTGACCCAAACAGACCTGCTTCCACATACTGTCAAGATAAGAGGGGAGCAGAGGAAGCAGTAACATCTCCAAAGGGTCATCTTACCATGAGGTAAGCCATGCTCTGGGCTCCCTCTATCCCAGTGGTTCTTCTACAGAGGCTAGAGCTTCCTGAAGTTTGGGGTGCAGGCTGAGGGGCCAGTGACCACCAGCAGCACAGCCTGCACACCACGTGCACCAGCCTCCTGGCAAGGTTTTGCTATGAGGATAGCACCGCAAGGATGGATATTCACCAAGACATGCTAAATCTAAGCACCATCACCTCTCAGTATGCTAATGGCAACAATCTTTTGGGCAACTGCAGTGACACTAAGGAATAAATTATAAACACTCACACATGTGTGTGCAGCTGGAAGTCCGCAGCCTTGTAACCCAGGGCGAAATTATTCTGTGACAGTTTGGATTTGGCTGTGTCAAAACTCATCTGATAGCCAGCAAGCCACCCTTCGAAGGCCAACACAGCCCAGCCATAGATGGTTGGTCCAGAAAAATCTATATCAACATTACTGCCAACACTAAAACAATCCCGTTTATAGGAAGCCTTCAATTTCCCACTCTTCTTTCTGCAACAAACCAACAAACAAACAAAAATGATGAAAACAACATGAGTTTTTACTATTGTCTAAGAATTTTTGGAGTAAGATCCTCTCTCTCATCTTCCAATGTAAATATTATTTTGCTACATGCCACATATATATTAAAAACATTTCAAATGACCTAGTTCTACAAATATAATTTTGTTAGGATTAGACCTATTACTCATTATAAGTTCAAATGACAGGATACTTCATGACTTATTTCGTAAAGGCACGAACAAAAGTACAAGAATGAGTAAGAGGCTGGGCGCAGTGGCTCCCATCTGTAATCCCAGCACTTTGGGAGGTCGAGGTGGGCAGATGACGAGGTCAGATTGAGACCATTCTGGCCAACATGGTGAAACCCCGTCTCTACTAAAAATACAAAAATTAGCTGGGTGTGGTGGCAGTTACTCAGGAGGCTGAGGCAGGAGAACCGCTTAACCTGGAAGGCAGAAGGTTTGGCAGTGGAGCCAGGGATCATGCACCTGTACTCCAGGCCCTGGTGACAGAGCCAACCACTCCATTTCAAAAAAAAAAAACAAGAATGAATGAGACACTTCACTGCCAAATTAATAATCTGAAGATGTACATATACAGACGTATGAGAAGCCAAATGCCACAAAGAGTTAACCCCCAATACACATTATTAACGTATCATGGAGAGAAGTGTGCTTTCATGAAGGATGATATCAAAAAAATGAAATTAGGCCGGGCACGGTGGCTCACACCTGTATTCCCAGCACTTTGGGAGGCTGAAATGGGTGGATCACAAGGTCAAGAGATCGAGACCATCCTGGCCAACATGGTAAAACTCCGTCTCTACTAAAAATACAAAAATTAGCTGGGTGTGGTGGTGTGTGCCTGTAGTCCCAGCTACTTGGGAGGCTGAGGCAGGAGAATTGCTTGAACCCAGGAGGCAGAGGTTGCAGTGAGCTGAGACAGCGCCACTGCACTCCAGCTGGGGTGACACAGCAAGACTCCATCTCAAAAAAAAAGAAAAAAGAAAATAATATTTGTCCGAAAGATAACTGAGGTGTGTGACAGAAAGAACACACCTGTTGTTACGGCTGAGACAAATGTCACTTTGCATTCACCTAGCACCTCCATCCTTCAGACAGCATAGACCCACATTAGACAGATAAGAAATGACACAATCCCCCTTTTTTCACATGAGGAAATTGAGGCCAAGACGTTGGGGGATTTACAGAGGCTAAGAAATCAAGTAGGCAGCAGAACTAATCATTATAGCATTTGAGAGCCAGGAGATCACCCTCTTAAGAAATTAACTTTTCAGCACCATAAGATAGGGTGAGGAAAAAAAAAAAAGGAATTAACTTTCTTTTTTTTTTTTTGAGATGGAGTCTTGCTCTGTCACCCAGGCTGGAGTATAGTGGCACGATCTCAGCTCACTGCAAGCTCCGCCTCTCGGGTTCACACCATTCTCCTGCCTCAGCCTCCTGAGTAGCTGGGACTACAGATGCCCACCACCACTCCTGGCTAAGCTTTTGTATTTTTTAGTAGATATTTAGTTTCACCTTGATAGCCAGGATGGTCTCGATCTCTTGACCTCGTGATCCTCCCGTCTTGGCCTCCCAAAGTGCTGGGATTACAGGCGTGAGCCACCGCGCCCAGCCAAAAGGAATTAACTTTTTCAGCAGAATACCACGTCCATCAAACTTCAGAATTGCTTAAGATTCATCTATGGTCTCAAGACTCTCCTAGCTCCTAAATTTTTTCTACTATGTGTCTCTCTGAAATAGATTTATACATTTTTGTTCATCTATTCAGTTTTCAAATTGTTCATCCTGCCTTGGGGGGGAGGGATCTTCCTTTATCTGTACTACATATACAAGGTCTCCAATATTCCTTATAGCAACCTTCTAAGTTCTTCCTGCCTCTGAACTTTGCACTATATCTTCTTATTCTAAAGTTCTCTACCCCTTCAGCCTCCAAAAACATTTCAGGAAATAGGATTTGAACAATTACCCTGTGTTCGGTACAAATATGGTATCAAGAGTCAGTTTCAACCCTTCAGCCAACTGAAAAACAAAGATTTAAAATAAATAATTAGTAATTTTCAATCATTTATCCAACTGAAGAAACCAATTCTAAAGTCTCCTCTAAGTTCTTTAACAAAAAAAAGAAGTCATTCAAGAAAGCAAAATATTAAATTATGTAATAAGTGAGCTCTCCATCCTCCTGTCCCCTCACCCCAGCCTTCATCATGGTTCTCTCACCAAAAAATGGGGCAAATCCTATTTTAACAAGTTACATAAAATACAGTTCAAAACCAAACAGAATTCTCATACAACAAAATCATCTTGATACCTTCTTGAAAGAGTGGCAATGAGATAACCTGACATTTAACAAGCAAGCTAAGTCATTTTGCTCAGTTTTGCATGTACATTATCTATACATGGCATCTATATCAAAAACAGTGCCCTGTACAGAGTAGGCACTTGACAAATATCTAATAGATTTTCTCCTTGAAAACATGAGAACATTTTAGAAGAATTTTTCTGTCAAGCCAATTTTACAACAATTACAAAACTAAACCAAATTTCCGCAAATAGTTTGTTCTACCCAGGAGAAGCTTAGCTGTGTAACACAGAACCAGTCAGAACAAAGACGTAATGTAATAATCAGAGTAGTCACAAACAAAGCCTTATTTTCTAGAAACATAAGACATCAAAAAAGGCCACATGCAGAGAAAAAATATGGCTACTAGATAGGTTGTAAGATCTCTTTTGATTATATTTGAGGTATGTTCATCATTCAGTCTACAAGATAAATTGAACTATGAATAACTTCTAATGCTTTCTCTTACCTTATTCTCCCAAGAGATTTCTGTCCCTAGAGTATTGTCCGTGTTCCATTTTTGGGTGAAGGTAAGTCCATAGTTACAGACCTTATATTTGGTTTCTAGGTTGCCTGATGCTTTCCCTGTATCAGTGTAAGCATGACCAGAAGTAGAAAATTCCTGGTAAGCAAGAAAAAATAATTACTTTAAAATTAGCTCATCAAATAGAAAATACTCACTTTGGAAGGCAGTGTTCAATGCATCAGAAACAATACCATTTACTGTTTGCCTACTCTAGAGCAACTTCTTTCCTCCTTTCCCCTTGCTTTTCCAGTCCCTAAATATTTTAACCAGTTCCGCCAGGCGCAGTGGCTCACGCCTGTAATCCCAGCATGTTAGGAGGCCAAGGCAAGTGGATCCCTTGAGTCCAGGAGCTCGAGATCAGCCTGTGCAACATGGCGAAACCCCATCTCTACAAAAGATACAAAAAATTAGCCAGGCATGATGGCACACGACTATAGTCCCAGCCTGAGTCCAGGAGGCAGAGGTTGCAGTGAGCCGAGATCATGCCACTTCACCCTAGCCTGGGAAACAGAGTGAGACCTGTCTCAATACCAGTTTCAGATCTTTCCATTATTCTGCTTCTCTTACTGATATTTCTTTTTCCATATACTCTCTTACTAAATGGAAATCCTAAATTCTCTCCTTTAAAAAAGAGGTATCTTTACTGAAAACAAATGCCTTTACTAAAAAGACCAAAAATATTGCATCTTAAACATTTTACTTTCATGACCTAAAAAAAGATTATCGGTTCTCTGCTATATGTTTCAAACTATCAGTTAATTTCAAGGTCCTTAAAAATTCCAAAATACTGCCCTCTTCCTTTTTAATAGGGTCAACACTTTACTACTTCCTTTAAAAATATATGTATTATTTTATTGTGGTAAATACATTTAACATAAATTTTACCATTTTAATAATGTTTTAAGTGTACAGTGAAGTGGCATTAAGTACAGTCACACTGCTGTGAAAACTTTAACGCTTTTGTGTGCAAAACCGCAAAACTTCTGCTAGACAATTTCAATATTTGAAAGTACTACCCATTTTTCAAAATAAAGTGGAATGCTATAATTTATCCTTCTTTCCCCCTTTCTATCCTGTCTACCTTTAAGAGTGCTTTCTATCAAACAGTTACTATGAATGATTTAAAATACATCCTTTGCCCTAGTTCAGTGTCCTTTAAGTCATATGACAATAAGCAATTAGAAATAGACCTCCTTCTGCAGAAAGCAGTCAGCACCTGTCACTGACAATCTATGAACTGTCAAGAAAAAACATTCTGATTGGTCCTGTTTTAGGGAGCATTTCTGAAATCCTGCCAACAGTAATGAGATGCTGCCAACCCTGACCAGTCTTTTTCACTGCCTGCAACATGAATCCTCTCCTTAACAAATACCCTGCCCCCTACCTCTAGTTCTACAGGCAAATGAGACAACTGGGAAGCTATGATCTGTTTATCAACACCACACAGAATGGTTTCAAAGACAGTATCATGCTGCACATTTAGGGGAAGGCCTTAGTAAGAAAATGATAACGTGTTAATCATGTTTACCTGTTCACATAATTATTTTAATGTGACAATCATTTTTCTTTTAGTAGATCCAACTATCTAGTGTTTTTTTTTTTTACATTTACTTTTCACAAACTTGACAAGTACAACAAATGCAAATCTTAATTTTGGTGTTAGAAAAACCTTATGGACAAAATTAAGGTAGAGGGGTAGTCTACATTTCTCCCTTGTCAGCATCAATTCTTAGTTTGAAGGTCTGTCACAAATCTAAAATGCCACAGGTACAAATCTCAAAAACAAAGGCTAGAATTGTTCTAAGTTGAGTTCCAGGCTCATGATTCACAATTCAGTTTGTGGCCAATTTCATAATTTGTTCAAACAAGTGCAAAACACATTTGTAACATGCATATAACATGCATAGAGCTCTACATTAAATGCTTAGTAAGCAACAAAACAAACAAAAATGTTACTGTGAAGTAGATGGCATATGAGAAAAATATCAAGACACAATCTAAGAAATTTGGAACAATGATTGAAATTTATCCTAAATCAATACCAGAAACCAAAAGCAGCCATAAAAACAAGCATACAAATAAGCTTTTTTTTCTTACCATCTGAATGAATATTACCACACAACAGCAGCATGAAAGGGAGATAAAATTTTAGTTGATAATTTTTGCAACATAAACCTAACGAGCAAATTCTGGAACCTACACAAAGTGAGTATGATTCTTCTATTTTAACAGAACTATATACATAGCGTGCCCATCTTAGTAAGGTAGGTGCATATATATTTATTTACTCTACAGAAACCCAGGGAAAGAATGATGGTCACGAACCATAATTATATGCAGTATCATTAGAATTCCACATGCCTTTGTCCTTCTAATTATACATCCAGAAATAAAATCTGCATGGGTTTGAATGGATAAATACCAAAAACAATGCAGCCAATGAGAAGAAATCAGAGTAAGATGAATCAAAACTTAACCTACTAGCTGAAATTTACTGAATAAAACCAATTTTTTTTGTTTGTTTGTTTTGGAGACGGAGTCTCGCGTTGTCGCCCAGGCTGGAGTGCAGTGGCGTGATCTCTGCTCACTGCAAGCTCCATCTCCCAGGTTCAAGCCATTCTCCTGCCTCAGCCTCCCAAGTAGTCGGGACTATAGGTGCCCACCACTACGTCTGGCTAATTTTTTGTATTTTTAGTAGAGACAGCATTTCACCATGTTAGGCAGGATGGTCTCGATCTCCTGACCTCGTGATTCGCCCACCATGCCCGGCCCCCTATTTTTTTTTTTTTTTTTTTTTTTTAAGACGAAGTCTCACTCTGTCACCCAGGCTGGAGTGCAATGGCTTGGTCTCGGCTCACTGCAACCTCCGCCTCCTAGGTTCAAACGATTCTCCCGCCTCAGCCTCCCGAGTAGCTGGGACTATGCGCGTGCCACCACACCCAGCTAATTTTTGTATTTTTAGTAGAGACGGGGTTTTGCTATGTTGGCCAGGCTGGTCTCGAACTCCTAATCTCGTGACCCGCCCACCTTGGCCTCCCAAAGTGCTGGGATTACAGGTGTGAGCCACCATGCCCAGTCAAAAGCTATTGTTAATGATACTTTGAAAATATGCCAACATAGCCTTTACTATAGTCTTTACTTCCAATAAAAAAAATACTTTATAAACATCAGTTAAAAACTGTAGAATAATGTACATGCATACATGCAGAAATACATTTTATATATTTTGTTTCTACTAATCATAAAGGGGCAAAGTAAAGTTAATTTGTTTTTGTAAAAGCTTAATAAAATTTCCATGAATCCATTATCATAGAAGTAAGGTTTTTGGTGCCCATATACATATTCATGAAAGTATATATTTTTTGACATTTCTTGACCCATGTCAACAAATATATACTCTATATTTTCTGAGTGAAAGCTGTAGTATACTCTGAGAAACACAAAAGGTCTCTTCAAGAATTCAACTTGGTTGTTTATTTTAATTGGCTAAGAATGCTGTTTGGAATCTGAGAGGACAAAGCTGTGGGTAAGACAGCATGGTGCTGGTTCAAGTAACTAGGCTGTCATGATTTTACACAGATTCCTTTAAGTTAATTATGTTACATCCATTAAAAATATATTAGATACTCACCACTCCACTACAAGACTTGGTTTTCAGGTCTATCTTGACCATGCCAAAGCCTATACACGCACACACAAAAACACAGTAATGTACAAAATGTGACATTCACTACAGTTTTTGCAACTCAGAAATTATGAAATAGCCTATAGTACCTTTCATATGAAAAATGCATTCATATGAAAAATTTCATTAGGTGAGAGTTCCTCAAGAAACTGAATTATAAACAAATAAATTCAGTATAATTTTCAAGCCCTTAAAATGAATAAAGATATACTTTTAAAATGTAAGTTAAAGAAAAAAATAAATGAAAGGAATATGCACTATTCCAAGAATCAAAATTGCTGAAAATAGTGTGCTCCTGTATATATTGCTCAAAATATACAGCTAACATTACTAGTTAATAAGAAAAAATCAAATATGTACAGCACAAAAATTTAGGTTAAATTTTAAAACCTAAAAAATAATATTTAGGATCACAATACACATTACTTCAAATAAGTCAAAAGTTATGTTGTCACTTTCATAAAAACAATGCCATTGTTTGGAGGGAGGAAAAGTATTACCCCTACTTTAATTGTCCCCAGGGCTAGACAAAGAAGACATAAATGTTATATGTATTATTCTACATTACAGGTAACATTAAATATGGACATATATATGCATCTGTATATGTATATAATTCCTTTTAATGCTTGAAAGGGGTTCTACCTCTAAAGAATGAGGTCTAATAGCCTGTTAATAGTTATCCCCTTAAATCTTGTGAAGTGGATTAATGCTGACTTACCCTTATTTTACTAGCACAGTATTTACACACAGTAGGCATTCAACACTAACTTTTACCCCAAATTGTAAAGTTACAATAGCATACTTACCATATCCTTTGTTGAAGACATCCTTAGCAGCCTTTCCTAGGTCACAGTAAGTTGGTGTGTTACACATATCTTATAAAGAAAAACAGGGCAAAGGAATAAAAATAACCATTTAGTATTTATTCACCCACAGTTCTGCTGTTTCATCCTATGAGAAGAAGTATACAGTGTTCTCTTCCTTTGTATCATTGATGCTTTAACGCAATCAAAGGTATGAGATGGCAATCTGCTCCTTAAAAAATAGAGCTTTCCAGAATACTGAGAATAAAACAGTTTTCCCGTGAGATTCAGAGGTCATCTTTCTGATTGCATTTCAAAGAAAAGTAAGTTCTTACAGGATGAAAAAGATGCTATGTTAAACTGGACTTCTTTTAAAAATATATGCAAAATTTACCTTAGAAAAATCTCTCTCAGGCTCTTATGAAACCAAAGACCTGTATAAGACAACAATGGAAATTTTTGAAGAAACTGTTAAAAGATGCAATCAAAATCCTCAGGGTTAACATTTTTCTCCTCTGAAATTCAGTTCTTAAAATAAGAATTTACCATATGAATTGAAGTGTATTCATCTAGAATACATTTTCTCTCAAAGCTCTTAAAAGTGCCATAATTTTACCCATAAACCAGAAATATGATAGATTCTACCTGCAGCAACCTGCTTACCAAAAGTGTAGTAAACTCTGAAGTTAAAGCCTTCAAAAATCTCAGGTGCCTTGGGTTTTCATCTTGCCTACTAAAAATTTGCCCAGCTTTGCTACTGGTAATATGACCCTCACATCAAATTCTGAGAGCTATCAACACTGCTGAATATCTCATTCCTTTGCCCTCTTTGTATCACGGGAAATCTTCCTGCAGCAGGTTCTTCTGTATTCCTCTAGCAGACTCAAAAGCTATGTCTAAGCAGTTACAGAGCCACCTCTAGCAGTGCCATTAGCCCATAGTCAGAAAAACCCAGAGTATCAGCTAGCCCTTGCAATTGCTATGCCTGAATGATCTACATATTTCAGCTCGTATTTATTTATATATAGCCCAGCTCTTAATCTAGACTCTTGCTAAGCTTCTGCCTACCCCATCATACCAAACATATAGATATGATGCATTTAAATGGGAATGCATTTAAATTTCGTTCCTTAACATAAACCTATCAAATATGACAGACACTATGATATAAAGAGACTAGTATAAAAAACTAAAAAGGAAAAAAAATTAAAGAGCAAAGGGTACTATAAATATACTGACTCATTCCATAGTAAAACTTTGCTCTAAGCTACAAGGTTTCATAATTCACTTACGGAACGATTATTTTACAATTCAATCCTTTGTACTAAAGTGATCAATTCTAGCCTTTTTATATTATCCCAATTGCAATTTGATATTACTCTTTATGATTACAACGGATGTTGATATTTGTTGAAATTTTGCCAGAAGTCTGTAATTTGGGAGGTAAGTATAGAAATGCAGGCAGTATATATTGAAATAGAAATGTTAAAGCTTTACAGTCTGGTTTTTCATACTGCCGAGAAAAGATACACTTAAGTGTTTAGAAGCACCATATATACGTCTAGAGACTATTTAAAATATTTCAGCATATTGTTGTTTTTCAAAACCAGTACCAGATACTATGCAAAAGTTACGTAGCTGGTTTAGTTTACTAACTGACCTCAATTCTGCCTAGTTCAAGCTGACTTTTTCCGGCCTATGACTCTGATGGGAAATGCACTGCTAGTATGATCAAGCAAAAATCGAGAACAGAAACTTCATGTTCCTCGAGAGTAAAGCTACAACCACACGTCTCCACCAGCTCTACAGAATGCACCTGCCCATAGATGTGCACACTGCACAGGGGCTGCAGGAGACGCAGACGGGGAGAGGCGTTAGCCGGATGCTACTGGTTTACAAAGCCACTAACTTGACAGCCAGTACAGAGCCCGTTTCGTTCCTCGCTTCTCCGTTTTGAATTGCACTCAGGGCACCCTCCGTCGGCCGTAAGGAGAGGAGGACTGGCCTGATGCTCCACAGCAATTCCGGAAGGCAGGGGCGGGAGGGGGACGGGTGTGGGGTTCGAGGATTCAACTTCCCTAGAACCGATCTCCTTTCTAGCTGACCCCTGGGAGGACAGTGCGGTCCACACGCCGGCGGGGGAGGTCGCGGCCCGCGCCCGGAGGCCACTTGCCCCGCCGTGCTGCGGCTTCATCGCCTGAGGTGGCCCGGGGTGGGTCCCGGCGGGAGCCAGCGGCCCCAGTCCGCCGCGCCCCGCCCGGCCCGCGCCCCAGTAGCCTGCTCCCTGCCCACAGAGCCTCCGTTAGGGCCGCCTCCCGCCTGGCACTCTGCTCGGCCGTGGCCCACCGCTCTCCGGGCCTGGAGCCCACGCGGCCTCGGTTCTCCTCACCTCCACCCCGAGGGCCTGTCTCCGCTCTGCCCGGGCAACGCTGAAGGTCTTCAAATCAACGCCGTCCGCGCCTGCGCGGCCTCGCACCCCCAGCTGCGCCTGCGCGCCGCGCCTCCACCAGAGCGCCAGTGCGCCGGCGTGTTGAGCCACGGTCGCGCGCTACGGAGCAAGGCGCGGAGAGGAACAGCCGGGCAGAGCCAGCACCACCAACTGTCCGGCTCCGCGGCGCGCATGCGCAGGAGGGTCCGGTGTGCACAGTGGGGTTAACTGGAGGCGCAAGAGGCCGGGAACCGCACCCGTGCCCGCGAGCGGACTCATTCTCGCGAGAATGCGCGAGGTTGCTAGTTACTGTTGCCATGGGCGCGGCCGCGAAAAGGCGGCGGTGTGCCGGATCCCTGGTTGAGGCATGATGCAGGCCGGAGTGTAGTGGCACGATCTTGGCTCACTGGCGCCTCGACCTCCTGGGCTCAAGCCATTCTCCTGCCTCAGCCTCCTGAGTAGGAGGGTCCACAGGCGAGCGCTAGTTTACTTTTCCGGCTGTATGTACTTTTTTTTTTTTTTTTTGTAAAGTCGGGAATCTCCCTGTTTCCCAGGCTGGTCTCGAAGTCCACGGCATAAGTGATCCGCCCTCCTGCGCCTCGCAGAGTGCGGGGATCACAGGCCTGAGCCCACCCCAGCCCCTTATGGGAATTTCATTTCAGACTGACCAGGCTTCAAGAGTGTCACTCTTAGGTCATCTCTTAAGGATGAGAATACATAGGTCCCAAGGGAGTAAGTGATTGATTCAAGATCCCACAAGTAGTGATCAATCTCTCTGATGTGAAGGTAGCCTTTTCTCTTTAGTGAGTAATCTATGGGAGTGATACTTTGAAACCATATGAACATCCTCAACGGTCCATTGATCATTTCAGCCTGAATCAATTATTATTATGGTGGTTCAATTATTATTATGGAGTTTGAGACAAGCCTAGGCAATATGTTGAACCCCTAGAGAGATGATAATTCCAAGGGGAGAGGATGTGGAGGAGAAAAAGCTCTTCCGTAGAGGAGAAGACCAACTAATAAAGGTAGAATAGATGATAGATACAGAAAATCATCATCCTGGAACCACCATAATAATAATTGATTAGGCTGAAATGATCAGTGGACCGTTGAGGATGTTCATATGGTTTCAAAGTATCACCCCCATAGATTACTCACTAAAGAGAAAAGGCTACCTTCACATCAGAGAGATTGATCAAACGGGGGATGGTAGGGACTGACATATGCCCCCGGTGTGAGGCACAGAGAGGGACACAGAGATAATATTCTTGTAGAAGTGTGTAATTTGCCTCTCTTCACGACGAAACAATCAGGCAAATCCAAACTGAGAGACCTGAAAGACAACTGCCAGTCTTCAAAAATGTCAGTTTCTTGAAAGATTAAGAAAAAGGCTAGTGAACTGCTCTAGATTAAAGGAAGCCAAACACGTGACACTAAAAGCAATGTGTGATCCTAAATTAGACCCTGAATAAAAACCAAACAAACAAAACCAGCTACTGAGGAGTTATTGGGATAATCGGGGAAATTTGAATAGAGAGTAGATTATCATTGCAACAATGTAAAATTTTCTAAGGGGGCCCTGGGTGCAGTGGCTCACGCCTGTAATCCTAGCATTCTGGGAGGTCAAGGGGGGCGGATCACTTGAGGTCAGGAGTTCCAGACCAGCCTAGCCAATATGGTGAAACTCCATCTCTAGTAAAAATACAGAAAATTCGCTGGGCATGGTGGTGGGTGCCTGTCATCCCAGCTACTGGGGAGGCTGAAGCAGGAGAATCACTTGAACCCAGGAGGTGGACGTTGCAGTGAGCCAAGATTGTGCCATTGCACTCCAACCTGAGTGACAGGGTGAGACTCCTTCTAAAAAATAAAAAAATCCTAAAGTTAGTGTACCTTGGTTATGCAGAAATGGCCTTGATTTTAGGAGACGCATGCTGAAGTATTTAGAAGTGAAATAACATGTATCTGCAACTAACCCTCAGATGGTCCAGAAAAAAGAAAAAACAAATATGAAAAAATGTTAACAATCGAGGTGGAACATATGTGTGTTCATTGCACTATTCTTGAAAATTTCCACTGTGTTTTAAGTATTTTTGAAATAAAAGAAATAGGCCCGCACAAACTCTGTGATGCTCCACAGTACACAATACCAAGTTGCTGCTTGAATCAAATATCAGATTTGCCCTCTGTGTGAAAGGTATTTGAAGTTGGTAAGAGATAAGACACATGTCCCCAAGAGACTCATAATGTAAGACTTGGACAAATATCTGCTGAATGAGGCCAAATATGGTCAATGTCATAAGCAAAGTAGTATAACCTAGAAGCGGAAATAAAGTGAGCTTAGGAGTCCAAAGAGCTGAATTTGTGTCTCAGCTCTGCCAACTCTGTGGTCTTAGGCAAGCATTAACCTCTCTCTGCCTCAGTTTCCACATCTGTGAAATAGAACTAACTTAATATATACTCAGAGGATTGTAGTGGATATTAAATAATGTATCCAGGCCGGGTGCCACGGCTCACTCCTGTAATCCTAGAAGTTTGGAAGACCGAGGCAGTGGATCGCTTGAGCCCAGGAGTTTGAGACAAGCCTAGGCAATATGTTGAACCCCATCTCTACAAAAAATACAAAAATTAACCGGGCACGGGTGGCCTGTGCCTGTAGTCCCAGCTACTTGGGAGGCTGAGCTGGGATGATCACTTGAGCCCAGGGAGGTCAAGGCTGCTGTGAGCTGTGATTGCACCACTGCACTATAGCCTGGCCGACAGAGGGAGGCACCATCTCCAAAAATAAATAATGTATCCACAGCACATAATTTACCTGGCATATGGAAAATGCTCATCAGTAAATAACATGTGAAAATAAAGGAGTTGGTTGGGCACAGTGGCTCACGCCTGTAATCCCAGCACTTTGGGAGGCCAAGGTGGGCAGAACACGAGGCCAAGAGGTCGAGACCATTCTGGTCAACACGGTGAAACCCCATCTCTACTAAAAATACAAAAATTAGCTGGGCGTGGTGGCAGGCACCTGTAGTCCCAGCTGCTCGGGAGGCTGAGGCAGGAGAATCGCTTGAACTCGGGAGACAGTGGTTGCACTGAGCCAAGATCATGTCAGTGCACTCCAGCCTGACAACAGAGTGAGACTCCGTCTCAAAAATAAATTAATTAATTAAATAAAAAAAGAAAAGAAAAGATAGGAGTGTAGACCACATGCGGTGGTTCACACCTATAATCCTAGTGCTTTAGGAGGCTCAGGTGGGTGGATCACCTGAGATAAGTTCGAGACCAGCCTGGCCAATATGGTGAAAACCCATCTCTACTAAAAATACAAAAATTAGCCGGGCGTGGGGGCACATGCCTGTAGTCCCAGCTACTCAGGAGACTGAGGCAGGAGAATTGCTTGAACCTGGGAGGTGGAGGTTGCAGTGAGCTGAGATTGCCCCACTTCACTCTAGCCTGGGCTACAGAGCGAAACTCCCTCTCAAACAAAACAGAACAAAACAAAAAAAAGAAAGAAAAGAAAGGAGTTTAAAAGCTATACAGGCAAAACTCACATTTTTCATATACATATGAATATTAGAGCCACAACTTCAGCCTATGCTGTAAGGCCAGGAGTAGAAGTGTAGGCTGAGCAACATAGTGAGACCCCATCTCTAAAAACATCATTTTTAATTAGCTGAGGGTTATGGTGGCCTTCTGTAGTCCTGACTACTGAGCAGGCAGAGGTGGGAGGATGGATGGCTTGAGCCTGGGAGGCTAAGGCTAGAGTGAACTATGATCATACACTGTACCCCAGCCTGAGTGACAGACCAAGACCCTTATCTGTTAAGAAAAAAGTTTTTAATGGAAATTTCACAACATTCTGTTATCTGAAGGTTTTCTTCTGAAAGGACTCAACACCACCAGTCCCAGGTAATCCAGAAAGACCTGAAGCAAGAAGGTGATGAGAAGACCGTGAAGGAAGTCAGCTGCTGCAGGAAGGATCCATCCTTTGCTTCCTGTCCCTCTAGTCCTGTCCAGTTAGCTGGGTCTAGATTCACACTTAATGTCCTTATCAAGACTGGCCTTCATTGGCCAGGTGCAGTGGCTCACACCTGTAATCACACTTTGGGAGGCTGAGGCAGGTGGATCACCTGAGCTCAGGAGTTTGAGACCAGCCTGGCCAACATGGTGAAACCCTGTCTCTACTAAAAATACAAAAAAAAAAAAAAAAATAGCTGGCATGGTGGCAAGCATCTGTAATCCCAGCTACTCAGGAAGTTGAGTCAGGAGACTCACTTGAACCCAGGAGGTGGCAATTGCCCTGAGCAGAGATCGTGCCATTGCACCATTGCACTCCAGTCTGGGAAACAAGAATGAAACTCTGTCTCAAAAAAAAAAAAAGAGAGAGAAAAAAAAAAGACTGGCCTTCACCACCTCAGAACTACAGCCAAATAATGCACTGGTTCTCACATTCTCATTCCCCACTCACACTGCGATCTAAACTCTTGGGAAGTGTGGAAAGGGCTTTCTCGGTCCAAATCCTGATACAAATACCATGGCATTCTCCTGTCAAATCAATAGAATCAGAATTTTAGAGCTAGGAAGGGACTCTCAATGCCTTCCTTTAAGGAATGTTTGCTAAGCGCCTTT